AAGGAAAGGAAAGGAAAGGAAAGGAAAGGAAAGGAAAGGAAAGGAAAGGAAAGGAAAGGAAAGGAAAGGAAAGGAAAGGAAAGGAAAGGAAAGATGTGATGATGGAAACAGATTGGAGCGATGTGGCCATTAGTCAAGGAATGAGGGCAGCCTCTAGAAGCTGGAAAAAGCAAGAAAGCAGATCCTCCCTGAGAGCCCACAGAGGGAACACTGTCTTTGATTTTAGACCCAGGACATTTTGGACTTCTGATCCCTAGAACCATAGGATAATAAATATGTGTTATTTTAAACCACTAAGTTTGTAGTAATTTGTTACAGCAGCCACAGGAAACTAATACATCCTAGTAGAGAAGTCCAGTTGGCTGCAGGTTATATTGGGCAGCACTCAGGGGAGAGAAGAGGGTTGAAGATGAAGACCTGGGACTCTTCAGCATACACGCGACAGCTGTGGGAGTGGATGAGCTCACAAAGGGCAGAGTGTGTAGAGTAGGAGGTAAAGTGAACCAGCAGTTTGAGTCCTCACAGTAGTGCAGCCAGGACTATAATGACGTGCAAATGGATAGTGCCTTTTTCCACCTTTCATAGGAAAAGGACTTAGCAGATGTTACTAAGTTAAGCACTTTGTTCAGTTGGGTTTCGGTGGGGAGGAATGCCACAGCGGGAAAGGATAGCAAAGCAGCTGATACAAAGACTTTATCCACTACCTTCCCAAGGTCAGTCAAATAACAAAGACGGACACAGCATTTACTTTTTTCCCCTCAACATCACCTGGCAATCGAACCACATTTTCCTAGTATATTTATTTTCCCTATTTTACATCTCTTCAAACTCCCTATACCCCTCTCCTCTCCTTTCACTCTGATGATAATCTTGCCTCACAATTCATTGAGAAAATCAGAATAAATCAGAAAAGAACACCCACACCTTACTATTTCCAACTTGTCTACCTCTGTCTCCCTTGCCTTCGATGTTGTCACTGCGCACCTGCATCTGCCTCGCACAGAGATCCTTGTGATTAGATTGGGCCCACCACGCGATAGCGCGTACTGCGTCCTCGGGTTGTGCTAATCTATGGATACTGCCCTCTCTTCTCATTTCAGCAGACAGTTGCACAAAATGTAAATTCCATATTGAGTAGTAACTAGATGCATGTTACACCTCATCCCACAACAAGTAACTCGCCTTCCTCTATTTCCCCACCTTCCCTTTGCAAAAAAAAAAAAAGAGGAGTTCGGAAAACTTAGGGTCATCACTTCGGTCTTTTGTCACGTTTCATTGGCTTCATTGGGCTCAACGCGACGTAAACTATTTAACTTCAACACGACCAGCGTTGAGAAGCTGGAGGTAAACTTAGCCGCCTGCCGAAGACGGACAGCCAGGGGTCAGTCAGCAGATGCCTAGCACTGCATGCTGGGAACTGTAGTCCGCTGGGGAGACCTGGTCTGGTAGGACTGGTGCCCCGCAGCATGCTGGGAGCTGTAGTCGAGGGTTGTTGAGACCCCGCCTCTGCACGGCTACTGAGCCTCACTGCATGTTGGGAACTGTAGTCTTTTCCAGAGCCCCCGCTTCTGCAGCCTGTAGAGGCGCCAAGACTGCAGCCATTTTAGGTCCGGAGGTGCGGCGGCCGAGAAGCAGAGCGCAGGCGGGCTCAGCCGGGAGCTGGGCCGGCCCCGCCCCCGGGGCGCCTGGCGCCCGCCCCTCGCCGAGGCCCCGCCTTTCCCCACGTGTCTGCCGCCTAGAGGAGGCGCCTCAGCCGGAGCGGGCCCGCCGCCGGCCGACCGCGTCCGCACGGAGTCTCCTGTCGGCGGCGCCCCGGAGCTGCCGGGCTGCCCGATGCTTCCGCCCCGGCCGCCGCGGGCCGGGCTGTGCGCTTAGTGCCCGGCTCAGGCCCCCTGAAGCGCCCGCGGGGGTGAGAGCGGCCTCGGGCCCCGCGGAGACGGAGCGGCGGGAGGACGAGGCGGCGGCCGCGGGGAGGAGGATGGGGGCTAACCAGTTAGTGGTGCTCAACGTGTACGACATGGTGAGTGCGGCCCCTGGCGGCCCCGGCCCGGCTCGGGCCGGCTTCCCCTCGCCGCCGGGCTCGGACCCCGGCCCGGGCGCTTCCTGCCTCGCGTCTCCGCCCCCAGCTCAGTTCTCTGGGGAAGAGCGGGGCCAGGAGGCAGTAGTATTATTTTTTAATTCTCTCCCTCGTCGATGCTCTCGATACTGCTTCCTGCTCAGCCCGAGGGCTTTGGGCAAGGCTCGGGGCGGCCGGACGCTGGCTCTGGGCCCGACCTCTTGGCAGCCGAGCAGTGTCCTTTCCGCAAAGCTTGGGTCGCGTTTCCGACGCCCGGCCCCCGGCCGCCCCACTCCCCGGTCCCGATCGCCTGCGCCCCCAGCTCCTCTTCTGCCGAACCGTGCTTCTCTCTTCGTGCCTAAGTCTTCAAAAACTCCCAAGCCCCTCCAAGTCCAGAAAGTCACAGTTACCCATGCTGCCTATGCTAGAATTGCATCAAAGGTGAGCAGGAGCCCACACACCCTTGCCTGCAAAGGCAACCTCATTAAAATGAATGAGGCTTAAATTTAGCAAGAAAATAGCCCAGCTGAGTAGAGATTAGGTGGTGCTCCTTTCCTAGACGGGGAAGACCACTTTCCAGGTGATGCAACAGGTGACGTGACCAGAGGAGAGGCAACAGAAGAACTTGTTTATTGTGTCATCTTAACTTCAGAGTGCTGTGAGCACACAGAATCAAGTTCAAGGACTGGTTTGCCTGATAATTGCAATTGAGATACACCCAGAGAAAGTATCCGGTAGAGGATTATGGTTGCAGTTAGATGCATGGTTGGGTGTTTTTGCTTGCTTTTGGTTGATCAGTTTTTGTTCTGTCGAAGATTATCTCTGCCTGTGGTGGTTAAAATTCCTTGTAAGTTGACTGACAAATGAAAAATTCCCCATCGTTATTTTTGTTGGCTTAAAGATGCAGAAGGACAGAAGTACTACAGGTCAGGAGTCTTAACAGTTCTAAACTTTTTATTACCTTGTATTGTTTATACGTTTCTAAATTTACAGTGTAATGTCTTGAGTAGAAAGGGATTCCTTATGCGTTATTTGGGAATTGTGACAGGAGGGTAAAGGGACCACCTGAGATTTAAAGTGAGTCCTCTGAATTCTGGTGTGAGCCTGGAGTTAAAAGGAGATGGTTTAACATACTGAGAAAAGTAGAGCATCATGAAAAAGTTAAAAGAATAATCAGAACAAGAGATCCTAGAAAAGCATGGCACTTTGGAAGATCTTTGATCTATGTCAAGAAATAATTCTCCAGATTTAAGTTTTTTGTGTTTAACTGGACACTTTTGTTTTTCAAGGCTTTTTATTGCCTTTTTACTTTTTCTGTGCCCACCATCTCAGGACATATACTGCTTTTGATTGAGAGCACAGTGTGCCTTTTCTTCTAGAATTAGATTATTAAATCCCTGTATAAATTAGTAGTATGCAAAGGAACTGAAAATGCATTTCTTTGGTATATAGTGTGCTGATTTACATTTTAGATATTCGGTGAATCAGGAAGATACCTTGCTAATTGTGGTAAATTGGGACAGGTTAGAAGTGATATTCAAAACCACTATTTTTTAAGGGTGGAGTGTTCTGAACGATGTTAAAATATTAACTAACAAAGATTTTATTCTTCACATCACTTGTGTAAAGTAGGTAGTTACAGAGGAATCAGGAAACAGGCAGAGAAAAGGGAAAGTGACCTGCACAGACAACTAAAAGTAGGATCTAGAATTTCTAGACCACAATTTGATTCACTATCTTCTTTACTGAATAGCTGCATTTATTTCTTATATATTGTTTTTTCCTATCAGCAAGAGATAAAGCATATGAATGGTTATCAGAATGGTAAATAATTGAATTATTAGACTTCCAATAAACTTGACCTCGTGGGTTTTTTTTTCCCTTTCAGGTTCTTGATTCAGGACTGTATGTTCTTTTGAAGGCTTTGGTCTATGTGTATATTATGTCACTAATTCAGCAACCTACCATTACTTATTTTTTTTGACCCTGTAGAAACCACAAGAATGAGTTAATTGTCCTTTCTTCCTTAAGGAATTTAGAATATCTTAAGGGAGATAAAACAATAATAACAATTTAAGGCAGAATAGCATGATTTTGATAAGAGCAGAAAAGGGTGCAAAGGAGGAGAGTATATGTGGTTATAGGATCAAGGAATACTGAAAGAGAAAAGGTAGAAAACTTGAAGGATTGGTAGTATGCATGAGGGCAGAACAATCAGTGTGAACAAAATGGCAGGAGTAGGAAAGCACAGGTTGAATTTAGGAAATATCAATTGGCCCAGTATTAGAGTGTAGGATGCACGAAAGGAGACAAAACAGGAAGTTTGATCAGAACTTCATCAGTTAGATTAGTATTAGGCTTGAGTGAAGGACGGAGGGGACTCTGTGAGCATGGGGCACCATTTAAGTTTTCAAGGAGGGGAATAGTATGATCAGGGTTATGTCTTAGAATGAAGACCAATAGGTTGAGGTACAAATTTGAGGTACAAATTTTTGTCTGTTTTACTCATTTTTCTCAAGTCAGTTTTGGTTTGTGAAATGTTTTTGCTTGATGCCAAGGGTGAATTCCTTTTATCTTTAATAATATTTCCTATTCATCATAGATGCCTTTGATGAGAATTGCCGTCATCTGTACAGGCCTAGTATATCAGCTGGCTGGTTCAAACTTTGTAAATATGAAAGTCAACCTTAGGTTTGCTGTAATAATCACTGTTAATAGGGACCTCTTGCCATGTGTCGTTGTGCCTCTTCGTCAGATTGTCACCTCTGACTATTTCTTCCACTAGGTTGGGCTGCTGCAGATGATTCCTTTTCTTTCATAAGTCTGTTACATATTTGAAAATAATTGTATTGGGATCACCTGTATTAACTTCCTTCTGATGGAGGAATAATATAATCTTCAAAAGGTTATTTAATCATGCATAGTGCTCCTAAATTATTGCTTCCAGTCTTCTCAATGGTTATATTTCTCTTTGTACTTTAGGGTAATCTACCACCAATAAAACATGTCCTTGAGTTTGAAGTCTTGGGAAAGAGGTTATTCAAATATTCCTAATTTACTAGCATATATAGCAAAGCACATGACTTAGATTAGTTTCTTATACTGAGGCAGACCTCTGGTGTAGTTGCTTTAGCAATCTTCATTTTTCATAGATCATGATTTCGTGCTTTTCAGATTATCTTGGCTACTAATGAATTCTTATAAAATAAAAATATGCAGGTGTTAATGTTTGTAAATTCATTCTATAAACAAATTTCTTCCTATTTTTAAATATCTGTACATCATCAGAGGTTTGGCTTTTAGGGTTTTTGTTTGTTTTGTTTTTTATAGAGACAGTGGCATTGTGTTGCCCATGCTGCTCTTGAACTCCTGGCTTCAAGGGATCCTCCCACTTTGGCCTCCCAAAGTGCTGGGATTACAGGCATGAACCACTGTGCCCGGCCCATCTTCAGAGTCTTAAAAGAATAGATATGAAACACTTTCTAGGACTCTTCAGATAAGGCGGTTTTTTGTCTGGACTCCATTCTTTTGACCCTCCTATCTCCATGAGACTGCTCCAAGAGAGTGTGAGGCCACGCAGGTCTGATAAATATGACTTCTTGTACATCAGTAGGTCTAATGCAGACTTTTTAAACAAGGTCCAGATTCTCATATTGCTTCAGCTAAATGATTCCATAATATGTCTAATTAACATGTCCAGGAACAAACTTCTTTCCTTCTCTTCACACTTCACATCCTTCCCTCTCACCCCATTCACCCCTAAAAAACCTTTGTTGTAATTTTATCTTGATAACTAGCACTTTCTTCTACTTAGTTTCCCAAACCTGAAATCTGGGAGAAAACCTAAATTCTTTTTTACAAGCCCTTCAGTCAGTCACCAGGCCATATCTCTTTGTTTTAGTTTGGTTGATTCTGTCTGAAAGTAATAGTTTGACAATCAGTGGCTTAAACTGGAAGGATACTTGTCTTAAGTTAAGAGGTAAACAGGTCCTGGATTAATTTGACAGTTTAGCCACGTCATCAAGAATGCAGACTTTCTAGCCTTCTACTCTGCCATCTCACCATGTTGGCTTTTCCCCTTGGTTTGTCCCCTCAGAGTTGTAAAATGACTGCTGTGGCACCAAACATGGTATCCTCATTCAGCATGATGTGAAGGAAGATAGAAGAGAATGGGGCCTTTCTCTACATCCACCTCTCTCCTTTTAACAGAAAGGAAAAGCTTTGCTAGAGCCATCTCCTTCCCCAAGAGATTATCCAGAATTGGCTCCTGTGTAACTGTGATGAAGCTAAGTAAGCCGATATCTGGCTTTTCTAGCCTTTATGGTAGTTGTGGGTAAGGAAGGCGGAGAGTACTTTATGAATATTCTTTAAATGGGTTACTTTATCTCCGTTTACTACTGATGCTTCTCAAGTTCAGGCCCTCATTATCTCCATTTAAAATTATATTACCCTTACTAGTTTCAATCTCTGCTATTACTTTATTACTTCATTTTAATCCACCTTCCATTCTCTTACCAAAGTAACCTTTCTGAAACCTAAGCAATTGTGTCATTCCTCTGCTTCAATTCCACCTGCAGGGCCGGGCGCGGTGGCTCACGCCTGTAATCCTAGCACTCTGGGAGGCCGAGGCGGGCGGATTGCTCAAGGTCAGGAGTTCAAAACCAACCTGAGCGAGACCCTGTCTCTACCATAAAAATAGAAAGAAATTAATTGGCCAACTAATATATATATATATATATATAAAAAAAATCAGCCGGGCATGGTGGCTTGTGCCTGTAGTCCCAGCTACTCGGGAGGCTGAGGCAGGAGGATCACTTGAGCCCAGGAGTTTGAGGTTGCTGTGAGCTAGGCTGATGCCACGGCACTCACTCTAGCCTAGGCAAAAAAAAAAAAAAAAAAAAAAAAAAAAAAAATTCCACCTGCAGGATAAAGTGTAATACCCTTTAGATGTGAGCCCTACTTGA